AAGATCCCTTACAAAGTTTCTCTGTCTAATCGATTGGTTTCAACTCAATTTCTGATCAAATAATTTGTATCCGTTCTTGAGTGATTTGATTATATTGAGAATTGTTTGAAATTCACGAAATGCGAAGAATTCAAAACGAGAGAATTTTTCGTTTTTCTTTTACTGTTAATATCAGTTCATTTGATGGATAAAATTGACCAACATTATACTAAATAACACAAAGTTTCGAACTACCGTCCTGTTTTAATTGTGCGTTGAGGGCTTGAACACTGTTGAAGTTCGTCAGGTTAGATCACTTGACGCAAAATTTTTTGGGTTCGGATCGCACACTTTCAGAGCGTCGTTCTTTAATGATCCGAAGGGATGTCGAGACTGAGTAGATGAGACTATGTGATTCGCGATGTTATGTTGTTGTTGTTGTTATTGTTGCTATTAAGCATTGTTATACGTTGTTTCACGGAAAATAAAGATTTTAATGTAACTGATCAACGTGCCTGCAATTACGTCGTTATCAAAGCGCATTGATGCCCGTTATATTATTTTCACGTCACATGCAGTCTGTTTATTGCATTTTATTGTAATATTTCATTGAGTCTTGTATTCCTTTGATAATGTCATTCATAGTTAAATAATCATTTCGACTGTTTAAATAAGTACGAAGTTGAAATGCGTATTTACAGTCAGTTTGCATAATATTCGTTGAGTAATTCGATGAAATGTGGAATGAAACGACAAAAAATCGTGGTAAAACTCGATATGAAAAGATAAAACATTTGGGTGAGGGACAGGTATTCAAGTTTGAGTCAGTATTGTACACTTTTTTAATCTCTTACCTTTTACTTCGACCAAAACTTGATCTATAACGACGATCTAATTCTTTACTTGGTTGAATTTAAGAATGAATTGAAACATGCAATGATCAAAATCTTTGTTTCAGTTCGCAAACGTCTACAAAGCAAAAGACACTGAAACTGGCGATTTCGTTGCTATTAAAAAGGTGAAGATTCAAGTTCATTCAGCGTATCCAATCCCATAATGTTCTGTCGTCGTTATGTCACGTATTTTCGTTGGATGGTTGCATATGCTCACAGAATTGAGTCGTTGTTATTATTTTGTTCAGATTAAATTAGGCTCGCGGCACGAGGTGATGGACGGGGTGAACCGAACGGCACTTCGAGAAATAAAACTTCTTCAGGAACTTCATCATGACAATATTATTGGTGTTAGTTTTGCAATTTGTAATTCTGTTTGTTACTCTAAAATTGTTGTTTCGTTGAATATTTCATCGATTGATTATTTGTATTTCAGTTATTGGATGTAATTGGGCATAAAACGAATATTCAGTTAGTGTTCGATTTTATGGAAACTGATTTGGAGCATATTGTGAAAGATAATTTAATCATTTTAATGCCTGAACACATTAAGAATATGGTACTTCAGATGCTGTTAGGGTTGGAATATCTTCATTTGCAATGGGTTTTGCATCGGGTATTCATTATCACTCTTTTGCCAGCCTTCATTACACTTGCACAAAGCAGTTGATATGTCAATGCGTTGTTCTAAATCTATATTCATATTGTTGCATTTGCAGTGAACTTTGCATCGAGTATAATTTAACGGTCACTCACAATGTTAAATGTAACTTTTCCGATGTTCGCTGTCATTTTCTTCATAGCAAGTGAACTGATGAAGAGTTCTTTCAGGATTTGAAACCAAATAATTTGCTCATTAATAATCGCGGTCGCATCAAAATCGCCGATTTCGGTTTAGCACGCTTTTTTGGTTCTCCGAATCGTAATTACACACATCAGGTATTATATTCCAACTCNTTGACTACCAGTCACTCCCATTTTCATTCATTCATTTTTTATCTGTTCATTTCGGCATCTCTATAGACAGTTTGCAATATGTCATTCCATAATATATACCAAGAAATAGTGAATGGAATAATGAGCATTCGGTACAGGTGGTAACAAGATGGTATCGTGCACCTGAATTGATTTATGCAGCACGTTCGTATGGTGTTGGTGTTGATATGTGGGCTGTTGGTTGTATTATCGCTGAATTGTTACTTCGAGTTCGTTGAGTTTATTTAAACTCTCAAGAATTCCAATCTAATTTACATGTAGTCTTCCAGGATTGTGATGGTTTTACTTTCATACTGCATACGTCTGTTAATTTTCTCACTTCAAAGTTTCAAGATATCATTTAAGGTTCCCATCTTCCCGGGTGAGTCTGATCTTGATCAACTTGTAAAGATATATCACATCATGGGTACACCCACTGACGAGGATTGGCCTGTAAGTTTCATTTTCATTGAATTAATGGTTTCAATCTCAATGAATCCTTTTTGCTCAAATTCGTCAGGGTCTTAGCTGTTGAGGTTACCAAGTAGGTTTTCACCAAATTTTTGCTGTTTTCAACTCGAGATTTTACCGTTTCAAATCATATTGGAGTCCTCGTTCAAACTTTTCGCAGTTGAATTTTGTTTCATCGNTAATTCATTTTATTCATTTAATATGTTCCAGAATGAATTTAACATAATTACATCTTTACAAACTTCGCTTAGTAGATATCAGTTATTTCATTGTGCAAAAATGCAATGAAAGTGTTGATTTTGTACCATTACATCGTTGTTGAAATGAACATACGGAGATTTTAATCGAACATTTGAGGAAGCCAATGAATTATTTCAGAATATGAAAGACTTTCCGGATTACGTCGAAATGAAGCCAACAGTGGGAATTCCTTTAAAGAGCGTATTCACGGCTGCGAGTGATGACCTGATTGAGTTGATTTATCAGTGTCTTAGGTATTAATCTCCACTCATTCATTTCGAATTGGAAATTTTATAGACTTTCATTGGTTTTTACTGATAAAAGCGATACGATGATTGACTTTGTATATGTATGTAACCGGATCGATGCGAGTTGATCTGATCACGTATTTAAAATCGAATTTACAGATTCAATCCTCTGGAACGTTGGACGGCAACACAAGCACTACAGTGCACTTATTTCAAAACGGTATTTATAAAAAGAGTGTTATATATTCCTTTGTTTCATTCATTTTTGTTGATACAGTAAGAATTGTGATCCGATTGTTGCACAGATGCCATATGCTTGCGACAATTCTGAACTACCTCTTCCGAGCTCTACGCAAAATGCTGCCGGTTTGGGAAGAAAACGAAGAATGGCCAGAGGAGATGACGGCAGTCCGTCTGCGATGAGAAAAAGACTTGTTTTTGAGTGATTCGATTTCACTTTTGATTTTGTATGTCTCTATTTCTGATGTGTTTTCGTCTTCTCATCTAAATTAACTCTATTCTTCGTTAATTTACTTCATTCGTTATGTAAATTACATAAACTTATTCTATTGGTTTCATATGTATGTAATTAAATGTTTTTGTGAGATTGATTCTGTGCGACGTTCTGTGTGGAAACAACATTTATTCATTGCATAACTTTATGAATTCCTCCATTTTGAGATGAACGTCATTTTTTAGACGATATTCCGTTGAAGTTTCCATAAATTTCAAATATTGATCAGATTGTTTGTGGTGAGCGAAGAGATTCCGAATGGATTGGTCATGCCGAGAGAAATTAGCGGAACAATGTTGCTGCATAAATATTTGCACAAGCGAATTTAACTGCATTTTCACTTGCAGTTAGTACAAAACGACTCCATGCTCAGAGATATTCATCACTAAACGTTGATCTCCGTTATGTATAATTGAAAACTTGCTCTGTTTTGTTGCTTTTGTTGACGTATTTTGCACAATGTAACTATAAGTGGTTTGATTCACTTTTGACATTTTATGGGTTAAGCACAATAAAAATGTGGATATTGTGAATGCTTAAATGAGGCTTTCTCAAGCACGGTGCTCGCACCCGTTG